CCCCCGCCCCCAAGGTTCTAGTGATGCAACCAAGTAGCCCCTCCCTTGTTCCAAAGCTGTTGCCAGCAGTAGTAGAGTCAGAGATCATGCTCACCACTATCCCTCTCCTCCAGTCACAGGGAGGAGTGGGTGACGTCATTCAGTCAGTCAGTCAGTCCTCCAATCAGGAGTTGGTTGCTAAGTGCAAGGCCTAGGGATGCAGAGGTAGGCAAAACAGACACATCCATCTCCCTAGAGGACCTGTCCCTTGTCAGCTCGAAGCAACCCCCAGTCCAGGGATAGCACAGAAGGGTCTGTCTGGATAGTTAGGAGAGTGAAGTTTGTGTCAAGACTGGGCAGAGAGCTAGGGATGCAGGCCGGTGGCGGAGTGTTTGCCTAGCAGGTACGAGGCCCTGGCTTCAAAGATGGCGAGGGAACTCTAATTAAATCCCCATCCTATACCATGCACAGGTCTTCGTGTTCTTTATCTCAGTCGTCAACAAACTCTGAGAATAAAGGAGCATGAGCCCCATTTGCAGACCCTGAAGCTGGGGTTCCCCGAAGCCCATGATCTCACCAGAATCTGGCTGCACAGCACTGCCTACAATTGCTCCAGCCTGGGTTCTCACTAGGAAACACATTCTCAATGGAAACTTTAATCTCCTGCTCCCCACGCCCCTGCCCTGGAGCCCTGCAGACTCTCTGACACTGCGGCTCCCTCTCAGGCTGGGAAGAAGAAAATCACCATGGAGAGCCAAGAGCAAACGCTATTTCCTTCCCTGCTTCCTTCCTCCCTCCAGTTTGTATCTGTTCCTGGAAATCCCTGTTGTACCCACCCACCCACCTTGCCCCAGAAAAATCCCAAGAAAGCTTCTCAACTCTATTTAAACCCCCGCTCAAGCGCTCAGAACCGGCGCCGGGCTCCTAGCGCGCTCTGGGTGTCCATCTGGTTTGGAGGCTATTTTCATCTACCGGATGCAGATCAGCCGCCGAGATCTGGGGCTGAGTGGCTAGAGCAACACCTTTATCTACAGAACAATTTAGAAACTAATGCAAAGCCCAGAGAACAAACAAACAAACTCCTCTTTCTGTTCACGGCTTGCTCTCTCGTTCCTGTTTCTACAGGTAATTGCAGCAGGATTTTTCACTTCAAACAGGCTCTTAGGTGTATTACGCTTAGGGCGCTGCAGAGGCCACTAAGGACAGGCGACTCTGGCTAGAAACGCTGGTGGGGGAGACAGGAGACAGGCATTTTCTGGGCTCTAGAGCTTTTCTGAGGGTGGAGTCAGATCTTCATTCATTCACTCTAACTGGGGTCTTCTTAGGATTGGAATTATGGCCTTTTTGCCTAATCATGGCAGGAAGGGCTATGACAGGTGCTCTAGCCTGAACCCAAAGAAGGCATTGTTATGGCTGGATGTTTGTGGTGCCTGAAACTATGCGCTTCTACATGTCTCAGGTGGGTGATGGCGAGGGTGTCCCAACTTGAGAGGCAGAGGGGTGGGCAGAGGTGGTAGGGAGGAGAGAGATTTTACAGCTTCTGAGAGGCTGCGGGTACAAGGCGGAGGAAGGCAGGAAGAACAGAGCCCCAGCTTCCAAGCTCACAACAGCCTCCTTCACTGATGCGCTCCGAGGCCGCAGGTCCAAGTTCACTTGGAAACGGCAGAAACAGAATTCAAATGCACACTTTCTAGGAGAAGCTCTGGCCTCAGTGCCACACTGCCCCTTGAAGAGTGGCACAGAGCTACACAAGGGGCAGATGAGCTGGGAGGGACAGGGGTAAAAAGGAGGAGGGAGGGTGCTTTCTGTGCCACCCCCACCCCCACCTCACCACTCTCCCTCCACTCTGCTCAGATGGGAAAGCTGCTGATACCTCTCCAGACTGCACCTCTGCACGTGTCCCACGCCATGGCCAGAGACAATTGTCCTCAGGGCGTGGCCAGCCTTGATCTAGCATGGGGATTGGTCCTGTTCTTTCAGAGACATTGGACTCAGGATGGTAAAAGTGATCACAGAAACACAGGAGCACCTCACAAGGGTCACCCTGGGCTGGGGAGAGTCGATGGAAGCAGGAATACTATGGGCCTGGGCCCTTGCGTGCTAGCTGGGTGTGTGGCCCCTTAGCTCAAACACAGGCAGCAGATGAATGTGAGAGTTAGGGACCACCCTTTGGAATCTTTGCCTGACTGGCCACAATTATCACCCTCGTATCAATGGGAACGTGAAGCTCCACTAAAGGTCACATGCATGGTAGGTGCAGATTTGATGTTTGAATCAAGGTCTATCTCAATCTTAGAATTTTTACTGAAAACCCAAACAACTATGGGACATGCTTTTGGAGCTTTCTCCTACAGTCCACTGGACATTTTGACCCCACACAATCTTTCCCTGGCTTGGAGATAAGGAACTGAAGTTGAGATAGGTTCATACTTTACCATGAGTGACATAAATCTCAAGGCAGGGCTAGCCCCAAAGCTGTGCTTTTAACCTGTGGGCCACTTCTTATTCCAAATGGATACTCAAACTAATGGGACAGTGGACTTTAAAATTACCAAAAGACCTTTGAAAATTTTTAATTTCCATCCCCAGGGATTCTGAGAGGCATATTGATTTGGGGATCAGAGCTGGGCTAGCTGCTCTATACGTGTTTGTGTGGGCACACCTGTATATGTGTGCACATGTGGAGACCAGAGGTCAATATAAGGTCTCAGGAGCCATTCACCTTGGCTTTTGAAATAGCATCTCTCATTGGTCTGGAGCTTGCCCAATAAGCTAGGCTAACTGGCAGTGAGCCTCAGGGATCCACCTGCTTCAGCCTCCCTGATCACTGAGATCACAAGAGCATGCCACTGCAACTGTTTTGTTTTGTTTTAAAAGTTTTTTAAATCCAGTTTCTCAATTTCTTTCTTTCTTTCTTTCTTTCTTTCTTTCTTTCTTTCTTTCTTTCTTTCTTTCTTTCTTTCTTTCTTTCTTTCTTTCTCT